TTGGAAGGTAAAGAAAATGAGCTAGCAATTTCAGTGGACACAAGGAGAAACCCCACTGGCTTAGAGAATCCCTAGGGCGAGTCGGGATGCTCCAGTCAGTTGCTCAGTGCTTCCCTAGCAAAGCTGATAATGGAGTGGGATGACTGCTCCTTCGGACGCATTGTGCTTGCTATGTGGTATTTTCCCCCAATGATCCTTGGCTAAATACCATCTCATTCCACGACCCCCACCTCTCCCCACCCCTTTCCCCCATGTCATTATGAAAGTCCCACATCTGATATCAATCTAAAACTTCCTTGATTCTTTGAAGCGAGTTATTCATTAACAAAACCTAAATGACTGGTTGGTAGCAAATCCAATTCTTTCACACTCCAAACGGGCTCTGAGAAGCGGCTGTAAATCTACCAAAGGCATAAGGGAAGCTTTGTGCGGATGGTTAGATCTCAACAGAAGTTCAGAAAAGGGAGAAAAGTTACTCATTCGCCGGATACCACTTGGTGAGTCCCTGGGAGGGACGTTAGTGCAGAGCCAGTTTGACAAGCACACAGGGAGGTGCCAACAGCCACCGACAGGACAGGCAGGCGCTTCGGGGCTGCCTCTGAGCATGGTCCTGGGTCCCAGCTGAAGAGCTCTAAGGATCGAGCCTTTGCCTTCTGTTGCCCGCACCTGCCAGGGTCCTGTGTTAGGAGGTATGCCTGTATTCTCGCCTGTCCTTTTGTTCGGCAGAAACAAAAGCTACCAAAGCCAAGGCCAGAAACTGCAGGGAGGCAGGAACAGAGGGGCTGGGGAAGCAGAGTAGAGAGAAACTTTCAAGGGCTGGCTGGCTATGCAGACAAAGTGCAGTTAGGAACTCTCTGTGTGTACACTTTAATCTTTAGGGTATGAATATCCACTTTTCTGTGGGTGAGCAAAATATGTCTCTAAGCGCCTAAGACCAGGGAACCGTGCTGGACTCCTAGTGTGTACATTACTGTTTTACTCCATAGCTATGGTCTCCTTGCTACACATTCATACCTTATGGAGCCGTTCGCAATGAGCAGCGGAACCGTCCCTGCTATTACTTTTGCAGAAAGCTAAGAAGCATCATTCCAGCCGGTAGGTTGGACACCAATGGGTGCTGTTCATCATTGCTGCTGTGTGTATCTTACAAATCATGATCTAATCTAACCACTTCCTTGTTCTTTCAAATGCACGTTTAAATCAGCATAATGATCAACAATTTGGTCCCATGTCATCCATTTTTTAAATATTGTAAAGATAGGAAATTACTTCTCCAGTAGCTGCAATATTGGGAATTTAAATGAAACAGTCATATGTTCAATACTGAGTGTTCCTCATGGTTTGAGAGTTTGGACATGTTTCCTGAAAAAAAAAAAAAACCAAACAGAATTTGAATTTGGATTTTTAAAACCAAGATATATATTGTTCTAGGGAAAATATGACCTGCCAAGTCAGAAGCTCCAGGTGAAAATTGATACACTATGAAAACGTCCTGAACGACCACGAGGTTTTCGACTTTGAAATGTTTGTTAGTTGCCTCTCCTTGCCCACAAAGGGAGACACTTCTCCATTTGTGTTCAAAACTTGCAATCGGTATTTAAAACGACATGTTTGACAAGCTTTTGAAGAAAAGATGGCAAAACTTACATATGTATGTTCTTACAATATGCTGGCCACAAATTCGGACTTACAGATTTTGGCAAAAAAAAAAAAAAAAAAAAAAGCCCTGAGGTCCAGTTCTGTTAGAGCTGTTTGGGATAAGCTAGCATTGGAGGCTTCTGGTACAAGTGAAATGCAGCCACAGACCGCAGCAAAGGAACCCAGAGCTGCCCAGGGAACAATAGCCATCTGTGGAAAGGGCTGAAATGTATTCCAGCGATTCCCATGGGAACGCCTGTAGACTTTTCACACTGTGTGGAAAAGATGTTCCCTCAAAAGAATCTTTAATCCTTTCTTTCAAGAGAAAAAAATCTATCTGGGAAATTTATTCCAAGTTTCTTAGCCTCCAAATGGGCCCAAGTGAGTCAGTGGGCATTTTAAATTCATGTAAATTAAATGAAAATGTTTTGAGGCAGAATCCTGTTACTCAGAATATAAACTTTGCTGTTCCAGAATTCTCTGAAATAGGAAATCAGGCCTATTCTAACCTGAGTTGTAAGGTAGAAGCTTGAATTCCTCAGAACAAATCAGCTTCCTGAGCATTATAGTTATCAAAATTGTCCCCTAAAGAGCTTTCTGTGTTTGGCAGACACGGTCCCAGTAGTAGAGAGACTGAGTCTTGTGGTTCCTTTCATACAGCAGAATCTACAGACCCGTGAGTGAGTAAATTATTAATGTATTTATAAGTGAACAATGAGAATAGGTCACCTTGAAGTCACCAAGAATGTACCTGGCTCTCTGGAACAGCATTCCCTTCTGCCTGTTGAAAAACAGAGTAGATATTATACTAATATGGAAAACACAGGTGTTCAGGTTGCCCAGCCATAAAAAAATCTAAAATACATTGCACCGTAGTCTGTCTCTGGTCTGTAAACAGAACCACTGTTATTATTAAGCCATGGTGGAGGTAAAAAGTCCACAGTATGACTACTTCTCCAAGAAAGAAGAGTTGCCCTCAAATCCACAGGGATCCAGTTAAGTTAGTAAAATTTGTATAATACAAATGGATCATATCCAGATTTAAGACTGAGGAAAGTACAACTAAATATATAGAAATATATAGAAAACAACAGCAACAACAACAAAAAACCCTAAGTATCTTTATGCTAAGAACTGAGTTTAGTTAACAGTATCATTTGATACTTAAAAGGTATACTGTAATAAGGAGTTAATGGGGAAATATCTGTAAGCATAAAAATGCCCAAGATCTAGAGGAATAAAGTTTTAATTCACCCACTCAGGGGCCGAGGCAGAGAGATCACAAGTTCAAGACCAACCTGGCTACAATGAGTTCAAAGCCAAGATGGACAATTTAGTGAGAGCCTGTAAAAAGAAGGCTGGTGATATAGATCAATGAACGGTAGAGAGCTGGCCTGCCCTAAGTGAGACTTTAGGTTTCATTTCCAGTACCGGAGAAGGAGAAGAAAACTCAAAAGGTCAAGATTTACGCCACTTTTGTTTTATACAGCCTCAAAGAGGCTAACTCGCTGCCTGAGTCTGCACTGTAGCATGGCATAGCTGAGACTGAAGATGGGGTGTCTCTGGGTCCCCACACTCATATATCTGCCTCTCTTGCTGGTGTCTGGGATGTCAAGTTCCAAACCCTACATGCTTCAGACATTTAAGAACACTGAAAAAAAAATTAAGGATTTCAAAATCAGCAAGCAGGAAAGTGAAGTCTATAGGACTCTCTACTCTAGTCCACCCAATTGGGAGACGTCACAGTCATCTTCTGAAATGGAAAATTACTAAGAAAGGGTACCCTTTGGGGACAAGGGCTGGCATCTCCATTTTATCAAGGAATGCTTCATGTGGATGGTTCTGCCCATAAAGACAGTGAGAAAATACGATAAAATGCTGATGTGGGATTCCCCTCTGTATGCTGTGAATATGTTTTATTGTCATTGGTTAATAAAAAAGCTGTTCCAGCCAATGGCTTAGCAGAGCAAAGCCAGGAGGGAAATCTGAACATATATATATATATATATGTATATATACATGTATATATATGTGTGTATATATATATATATATATATATATACACATAGAGAGAGAGAGTAGGTGGAGTCAGGGAGATGCCATGGAGCTAGATAGATGCCCAGACCCTTTACCAGTAAGCCACAACCTTGTAGCGATACACAGATTAATAGAAATGGGTTAATTCAAGTTGTAAGAGCTAGCTAGAAACACGCCTGAGTCATTGGCCAAGCAGTGTTGTCATTAATATAGTTTCTGTGTGGTCTGGGTGGCCAAGAAACAGACGAACAGTCTCTGCTTACAGAATGCCAAGTGTCTGGCGCGATTTATGGCACTCTTCTCTCAGAATGTTGTTTGTAGCCCCTGACCTCCCTTTGTGGGGAGCAACTCCAGGGGAGTCAGTGTCTGTATCTTTGTCATCCTGAAGATAGGCTTACCTGCAGGAGAGCCGCCTTCATGATCCCACCGGCTCATGAAGAATACAGTTCTTTTTTAGTTTTAAATGTGTGCCCGGCTGTTTAAACAATTCAGAGCCTGGGTATAGTGCACACATATTTAATCCCAGCACTAAGAAGGCAGAGGCAGACTCTGTGAATACAAGGCCAAGCTGGACTATATAAGAAGTCTGGTCTAGGCCAGCCAAGGCTTAGATCTCTCTCTCTCTCTCTCTCTCTCTCTCTCTCTCTCACACACACACACACACACACACACAAACACACACTCACACACACGAGAGTTTAGGGTGTCAACAGATTAAGCAAGATAAACGTTTTCCTGGCTCTTGTAGCAATACTTAAAAATACAATCCATAATATTTTATCCATGTAGATCAGGGGTTCTCAACCTGTGGGTGTTGATCCGCTTGGGGGTCAAATGACTTTTTCACAGGGGTCACATTATCAGATATCCTGCACATTAGATATTTACATAATGACTCATAACAGTAGCAAAATTATGAAGTAGCAACGAGAATAGTTTTGTGATTGGGGGTCACCACAGTAGGAGGAACTGTATTAAAGGGTAGAAGCGTTAGGAAGGTTGAGAACCGCTTAAAGTAGATGATCACGACGAACTTTGCAGAGTGGAAAAGGAAGGTTTCGGGGAGCGAGTTTGTTCAGTCCGCTAGCTACTCCCTACATCCTTAAACTTGCCCTGACATTAACCTAGAGGATGGGCGAGAAGGCCATTTCCCCCAGGGAGTGACTCTATGCAAACAAGGCCGGGTGTTTTGAACTCGCGTGTCTCACTGGGGAGGTGTTTTGAAACTCGTGTTTCCCGCTGGGACGCGGCCGTCTCATCACCTGCTCCAACCTGGCCTACCTACCGGACCGGCTTCCTGCGTGGCTTCCCCACCCCCACCCAATCTCGGAAGGGAAAGTGTAGATTTCCACGAACACAGGGCTTTCTGTCTTCACGGTCGGCCGCGGTTCGCCCTTCCTGGAGCTGCCTTTGTGCTTGGAGGTAGATCGCCCTGCGAGCCAATCAGTCACCTGACCCGTCCCGGGAGCAGCCTGTGGCTTCCGCCACATTCCTAGAATTCTTACTCGCGGCTCCGGAGGGTGGACAGCTGCGGGTTCTCTGAGCTGCGCCGATGCTGACTATCCGCCTCCTGCCCCGGCTAGAAGCTTTCGGCCAGTGACAGCAAGAGGGCCTTGGAGGAGTAGCACGCAGGTAAACTGAGTTTGCGGGGACAGCTGCGACTCCTGAGAGGGGCCGCTCCACGCAGAATCATTCCTCTTTTTGTCGCGCCTGTTTTTTTAGGAAAGCTAACTTGTCAACCAACTGGTACCTCCTTAAAAACAAATAAATTTAAAACTAAGGAAAAGAGAGTAGGTCTCAAGTTAGGTTCCCTAACACATCGAGGGGAGCAAATGGAGAGAAATGAAAAACGCAGAGTAAGAAGACAGTTTGTAAAACAGATCTCTTCTTGGTTTTGCGTAACCTCAGGCAAGGCATTTAAAGAAATGAATGGGTGCTGCTCCAAATCCACCTGCAAGGCTAGTGGGTGTACTGAGAAGTGTCTAGCCGAGAGCTTAGCGCACAGAAGGGATTTGAGTATGCACACATATGCACACGCATATTTTCATGTGTGCACATATGTTCCTACCGTGCATACCCATACATGCGTATATCTGCTCCACAGTACTACAGTTTCTAGAAAGGGAAGTAGTACAGACGAGGCAGATTCGACCAGGCTCAGGCCATGGATTCAGCTTCGGTTACAAAATAAACAAGCAGGAGAAACCAGACATCTAAGCAAAACATTGACCAGAAAATAAATAAATGCTTTGCCAAATCCTAATTCAGGGGAGAAAAAAAAAAACAAAACAATTTTCAGTGAAGGGATGGGGAGGTAGCTCAGTCATAATTAGCAAGCTTGGTAGTGCAGCCAAAGTGGGACACTCCTTCCTTCTATGAGGGGAATGGGAACAGTCGTAACTATGCGTATTGTCTATTACTCTATGTGTGGTGCCTATGACGACTTCCAAAGGTCCTGGGAGGACTTTGTGCCTGGAGACCTCCAGATTTCTGTCCTAGCTCCTCAACTGCTCTTTGGGCATCTGAGCTGCTGCTTGTCCTTATCTCTTAGCGTCAGGTTTGCAGCCGCACAGCTTCTCCTGATCACGTGACTCAAAACTTGAGAAACACTCAGAATAATGCTCAACTACGGCAAACACCAGCTCCTGGTTGTGTAGGGAGAGAGACGGGGGTTTTATTTCTTGCCTATCATGTCTGACACCCCTTATCAAAAGACAGGCAAAGGAGGGAGTATTAGATCACCGTTCTTTGTAATACAAGAGCTTTCAAACTGAAGACCCATAAACTCAGAGCGAACTGTTCGTTTTTCAAACTTGGGTTCGGTGATGCATAAAGAGCCACATGGAAGTCTGACTGGACAGAAAGGGCCTGATATAATGCTAACAGGCTGAGTGGGGAAGCCCAGCAAGGGCTCTCTCTTCAGGGCTTTCTTCGCCCCTCTCTGCAGCATGCCTTCTTGGTTACGGGACCCAGAAAGTTTTACCATCAGGAAAGCTATGGTAGAGAACGCCAAAGCTAGCGGCAACACAGAAAAGCAAGAGAAGACTAGTGTTGTTCCTTGCCTTTGGGGTTAGCGTTGCGGAAAGGGGTTCTAGTTTCAGAGATCTACCCAGGAGGGATAGGGGAGGGGGAGGGGAGAAAAAGAATCAAAGGACAGGAGAACACAAGGTCATGGTGAAACTTTACTCCAGACAGCTTCTAGCACCTTCATTTGGGGGTATTATTTTTTTTAATCCCAATAGTCTCCTTTAACAAAAGGGATCTTGTATACACCATCAACTTTGATCTTTAATATAGCCTGGTAGAATAGTCTCCATTTTGTAGATGACACAGGAAAAGTATATACCAATGGTCCTACAGCGGCCAAGCCAAGAATCCCATCCTCATCTTAAAAAGCATCCCTGGCTCTGAGATTAGCACATGTGTATTGGGTGAAATCTGCAAATATCTTGATACCCGAAATGATGCTGTTCAAATGCCATTTCCTCTACCGAGCTTTTAGTATCACCTGCTAACGGAAGCCGGCCTTTGACGCCCTCACTCTTTCTGGCAGAGGCTTTCTCTAGATCGTCTCCACAAAGCGGACTATTTAGGTCCATCGCCATTTTAAGGAAGAAGGGCCTCTTTCTCCTTACAGTTCCAGAGGATACAGTCGATCACAGTTGAGAAAGTATGGCATCAGGAGCGGGAGGCAGCTGGTCACGTGGCATTTAGAGACAGGAAACAGAAAGCAGTGAATGATTATGCTCGGCTCACTTGCTCCGTTGTATTCAGTGTGGAACCCCAGCTCAAGGACTGGGGCCACCCAGATAGAAAATGGGTCATCTCACCTCGGCTGATCTAGTCTGGATAATTCCTCAAAGCTGTACCAAGAGATTAGTTTCCGCAGTGGGTTTCAGTCCCATCCACTTGGTAATCAGTACAAACAGCATGATGCTCAAAATGTTTTCACATGAAGGGGACTTAAGAAGAGTAGATCAAGTTGGAAGCATGCCTGTGATACTCCAGAGCAGACATCATGTAGGGCGTGATGGAGCTCAGGGAACAACCACCTTGGGTCTCCTCTCGATAGGATGTACTTCTGCCACCTTTCAGAGCCCATCGCTGATGTGTATGTGGCAGCTCAGTCTCTCTATGACGTGAAGACATTGTCCAATGTCTAGAGAAAAACTTATTTCTATCTGTAATGGATTAAGTAAAAATGCTATGGATCCCCAAGTGGTGGGAATGGAGTGAGGCAGAAGTGGCCTCTTGGGGGAGAAAAAAGGGACTGGGGCTGGAGGCTGAAGGGCTTGCCTTGGTGGATGGGGGAGAGAGTGGGCATGGCTTGTCTCTTAAAGAGACAGAACAGACCATTACACTATCCCCATCTATGTTTTTGGCTATTATTTTGTGGAGATTATCTCTTGATATATCTGCAACTGGAAAAAGGATATGTTAAAAACAGAACTAACCTTTTAAGATATTGCAGGTCACTCATTTTTCCAGGGGGCATACTATTTTGGGATATACTCACTCTGCCCTTTCCCTCAAAGTTTCCCCCACCACTTCTCCTTATAAATTCCAGAGCTCCTCTTTCTTCTGATTGTCCTGCTCCCTGGCTCTTCTGAACCCCAGGGTATCAATGAGCAAGGATGCAGGAAGGAAGATGCAGTCATGTTTCTACCAACTCACTCTCCCCATACCTTCCTTCTTAAATGTTAGCATTACTCTAGAGCAGTGGTTCTTCACCTTCCTAATGAAGGGACCCTTTAATATAGCTCCTCATGTTGTGATGACTCCCAACCATAAAATTATTTTCGTAGCTACTTCATAACTGTAATTTTGCTACTGTTATGAATCATAATATAGATACTGGTGTTTTGTGATTGTCTTAGGTGACCCCAGTGAAGGGGTCATTCATCCCCAATGGGGTCAAGACCCACAAGTTGAAATCACTGCTTTAGGAGAGTTCTTCCTAATAGTGGCCATACATTTACTTTGCACTAACTCGACTTCTCTGTGTTCAATGAGTTGTGTGGGTGGTGTCTTCAGCAGTGGGACCTTGCTGTCAATTTGTGGAGAGCAACCTGTTGTCTCAGAAATAGAGTGAGTTGTTTGGGGATTCCCATGGGACTTCTTTGGTAAATATCTTGATTAGATGTAACCCAATCTTGGTACTGGAAGCTTCATTTGGTGACAAGACAGGTGGGATTCTGTTTCCCTCATTATTTGATGATATCATTTCTATAGCCTTCATATTTGTACACATTTTAGAAAGTTTCTTCTATATCAGGTTCCCGTACTGCCCCTCAATGCCTCTTAATTTTAACTATCTCTCACCATATTCCTTCCTTCAGCCCCCTTTCTTCCCCTTTCCCCCAATTTATCCTCCTATACAGCCCCCCATTCATCTACAGTTATCTATTTTATTTCCTGTTCCTAACAAGGTCTATCTGTACCCTTTAGTCACTTCCTCTTTACCTAGCCTCTATAGTACTATGGGTTGCAGATTTTTTATCATTGACTTAATAGCTAATAGCCACATATAAGCAAATATACACTGTATTTGTCCTTCTAGTTCTGGGCTACATCACTCAGAATGAACTTTTCTAGTTCCATCCACTTGCCATTCAAATTTCACAATGTCACTTTTAAATGGTATTTTTTAAATACTCCATTGTGTAAATGTTCATTTTCTTTACCCATTCTTCTGTTGAGGAATATTTAGGTTGTTTCCAATTTCTGGCTATTGTGAATAGAGCAACGATGAACATAGTTGAGTAAGTGACTTTGTCGTAGGAGGAATCCTTTGGGCATATACCCAAAAGTGGTATAGCTTCACGTAGATCAATCCCCATCTTCCTGGGAAACCAACACACTAATTTCCATTGTAGCTGTATACGTTAGCACACCCACCAGCAATGAACGAGTGTTCTTCTTACTCCATATTCTCCCCTGCATGGGCTGTCACTTGTTGTATTGACCTTAGTCTTTCTGACAAGTGTAAGATGAAATCTCAAAGAAGTTTTGATGCACATTTCCCTGGTAACTAAGGATGTTGAAATTGATTTAAGTGTTTCTCAGCCATTTGAGCTTTCTCTATTGAGTATTTTCTCTTTGGATCTGTACCCCATTTTTAACTGGATTATTTGTTTCTTGTTATCTAGTTTCTTAAGTTCTTTATATACTTTGGATATTAACTCTCTGTCTTAGTTAGGGTTTCTATTGCTGTGAAGAGACACTATGACCATGACAACTCTTTTAAGGAAAACATTGATGGTGACTTACAACTTCAGAGGTTTAGTCCATTATCATCATGATGGGGAGCATGGTGCCATGCAGGCAGGCATGATGCTGTCTACATCTTGCTGGCAACAGGAAGTGGTCTGTCTCACTGGGAGTAGCTTGAGTATAGGAGACCTCAAAGCCCACTCCTATAGTGACACACTTCCTTTCACAAAACCACACTTACTTCAACAAAGTCAGTCTTCTAAAGTGCCCCTCCCTTTGGGTGTCATTTTCTTTCGAACCACCATACCCTCTATCGTGTGTGCAGTTGTTTAAAACAAAGCAAAACAACAACAGCAAAACCTTTTTCTATTTGATAAGCAGCTGCTGCTTTGTCCAGCTGGTGGTGTTCTTTCCCATGA